TATCAACTTGAGAATCATCTTGTTACTTTCTACAAAAATCCTGTTGGGGTTTTGATTAGGATTATGGTGATTCTATGCCAATGGTTCTATCCAGGGGTGATTTTTGCCCTCCATGGGACATTTGGCAGTGTCTGAAGGCATTTTTAGTTGTCACACCTGGGGGAGTGCTACTGGCATCTGGGGGACAGAGGACAAAGGGGCTGTTACATATTTTAAAATGGACAGAACAGCCTCTATCAACAAATAATTCTCCATCCTCAAATGTCGCTATAGTGCCTCTGTTGAGAAACTGAATTAATGTTACTGTTTCTAAAGTTACTGAATTAATTCAGAAACTGAATTGTTACTGACTTCTGCCTACCATCTTATTATTTGTTTTTTATTTGACCCATTGGTTTTTTTTCTTATCTTCTCATTTTTTACCCTTTTGGGGGGGCATGAATTGATAATATTTATTATCTCATTTTTACTGTTCTCTAAACTTGTTACATGTATATTCTTCTGGGGGTTTTTTGGAGCTTACCCTGCAGATTTCATCATGCATTCTTCACAAGTTATAGTCTAACACAAATTATTTTACCATTTTCTGCTACATTCTTAATACACTCAATTTCTTAATGCCCCTCATGCTCCTTGGGTGCATCGTTGTCTTGCATTTTGGGTGTGTGTGTGTGTGTGTGTGTGTGTGTGCTTATACTACCAGGGACACAGTAACTACCATTCTGTACAGTTAATACTCTTTATATTGATCGATTGTTCTTCATTCCTTCCTACGTTTCATTGCTTCTGTTGAGATTCATTTTCTCCTTTTTTTTCCCCTCAGTGCAGACCTGATAGCAATGAATTCACTCAGTTTTTGTCTGAAACATCTGTGTTTTGCCATCAGTTCTGAACAGTGTTTTGTAGGATGTAAAATTCAAGGTTGGTAGTTATTTTCTTTCAGCACTTTTAAGATGTCTTCCTGTTGTCATCTGGATTTTATCCTTTCTGTTGAGAAGCTGTCAGTCTTATTGCTCCATTACAAAAAAAAAATGAAGACTTTTCTCTTTATTTTGGGTTTTCAGCATTTGACCATGAGGTGGCCGTGTGTCTTTATTTCTCATTGTATCATCAACTTGGGGTTTGCTGAGCTTCTTGAATCTGTGGGTTGATCTCTCTTATTTGTACATTTCTCAGTCACTTCTCCCCCAGCCTTCTCCCAGAAGTCATGTAGCTCGAGATCCCCGAAGGCGGCAGTTTTGTCCCCGCCGCCACCCCACATGACCATACGAACAGCATTTTCATTTCTCTTCATTTAGTGCCAGCCCTCGATCTGGGCCACACCATAATCCTAGGCTTGTGTCTGGGATCAGCAAACGCGCCAGGGGGAAAACACATCGCCTCTGATGTTGACTCACTCTGAACATTCACCCTCACAGGAGTGTTAGTACATCATGTTGCTTCCATAGCCGTTCGATGATTTAAGAGAAGGTTTTTGTCCTTTATCTGGGTACTTTCTAGTTGCCAGTAGGAACATTGGCCTGTCACATGCTGCTACATCCTGCTTGGAAGCAGGATGTGTGTAGTTGTTTTTGAGTGCTTGTCAGGTGCCAGATGCCCCTCGAGGCTGCAGGCATAGGCTTGCCTGGTCTAAGGTCGGTGAGACAGCCGTGCACAGAGTAACCCAGCGTGCTAAATATTAGAGCAGCGCTGTGTCACCGTGGTAGAGCAAAGGAGGCGAACGGGAAATAGCATCAGCTGTTTGGAAAATTGCAAGTTTTATCATTTTACATGGATACAGTTTCAAGTTCAAGCAATGAAACATAGATGAGGTTGGTGAGATAGGCAGGGGCCTGTATGCCATAGTAAAAAGGTGTTTTTACTTTAGGCAGGCTACGGAGAGCAGTTGAAGAATTTTAAGCATGGGAGAAAGTATCAGATTTTTGTTTGGAATTACTACTTACATGTCATGTGGGCATGAAATGCAGGTTCGAGAAGAGCAGGCACACACGGCAGGGAGCCAGGCAGGAAAGTGCTGTAGTTGGTCCAGTGTTAAGTAGGTGATGATCACCAACAGATGGGAAAGACATCGAACGGGTAGAATTGATGGAACTTAAGAGAATGATGGGGTTAAGGAAGCAGAGAGCCTGCGGTTTCCAGCTTAGGTGAGGACCACCGATCACAGAGAGAATACAGGAGGAAGAGCAGATAAGTTTAGTTTTACACGTATTGTGTGTTCCCACTTCATTAGCTCTCTTACAGTTTTTGTCACACGACCTGAGACCATAGTGCAGGGTACCCGAGGTTACCTTGGAACCCCAGGATGATGAGAGGGATGCAGAGTCTCGGCCATTGCCTTCACCCCACGTCAGCCAGGCCTTCTTATTTTATCTGTGTTAAGACTGGGCTCCCACTTAAATGTTTTATTTGGAGAAAGTTTCCCATGCTAAAAGAAAAGGTTTCTGAGCAGTGTCCCCTTTGTATTCATGTTTCCGTTTTAGGGCTCTGTTTCAATTGTTGTTTGAATGAAGTTCTTTTTCAGGGACCTTCCTCTGGTCAGGCCCCTGGGTGACACCCTCTTTCAATCCTCGCGTGTTGTTCTTTCACCCTCACCAGTAAATGTTGTACCTATTTATGGGGTGGGGTCGGGGGCACAAGCCTTTCTTCGCAGTTAGTAGTTGTACTGTCTTGTGGTGTAAGTGGTTGGAAATGAGAAGTTCAAAGCCAGAGTGAGTTATTTGCTATTTCTTCCTGAAAGTGTGTATGATTTTTCTCTATAGTTTAGTGTACAGGAATTTTACCAGAATGTGACTGCATGTGTATCCTTTGGTCTTTTTAGCATCCAGATAAATCCTTTTTTGCAGCCCAGGGAAATGTTTCAGTTGTTTGTTTGTCTTAGCTCCTCCATCTGTTCCTTTTCCTCTTCCAGGATTTCCAGTTAGCTCCACGCTGGTTCTCCCAGATCTGTCCTCTAGGTCTCGCAGTTTTCTTCCCTCTCTGTTTCTGCTCAGTTTTAAGACAGCACTACTCGGTCTTCCAGGCCGCTAATTGGATCTCAGCAATTAGCCCTCTTTTCTTGTTGCTCCCACCAGTTGAGCTTTTTTTGGTGTGGAAAATCATGTTTTGAAAACTCTGAGAAATGTCTTTTGTCTTGTAATTGAACTTCCTTTTTTAGTCTTGCTATTTTTAAAATTTTTGTCTGCCTCCTTTAGTGGTTCTGTTAATCTAACATTCACCATCTCCGGGGCTCTCTTATTTGCTTCTCCTGCCTCTGACTGCTGGGTCCCGTTAAGCAGTCCTCCATCTCGTCTGCTGGTCCAACTCGAGCAGAGGAGGGCACAGCAGCCTCTGGGTCATCAGTGTGCGAGCCAGTGCTGCTGAGATGTCAGTAGGCCCCGGCCCCGCTTTCTGGCATCCACACCTGGCATTTTCCTAGCCCAGAATAGGGAAGATTTGAGCTTCTTCCCTCTCCTGGTTTCTTGGGGGTCACAGAGGCCAGGAGATGCCCTCCCAAGAACACTCGCAGAGACCGGCATCGCCCTTCCTCGCAGGGGTCCGTGCAGCTCTGTGGACCAGACGCTCTCCAGGGTATGAAAGCCTGGTTGTTGCCTTGGATCCCTCTCCTGACACAGGGACAGTTCGGGGCCAGCTCTTGGGGCCGAGCAGGTCTTGCCCACACCCACCAAGCGTCAGCTGCCTGCCAGCCCTAGTCATTGGGGCTCAGTGGAATTCATTAGATTGGGGGTGGGAAGAGACAGCAGAGATACTTTCTTATCATCAGCGGTTCAGAAACACCCAGCAAGTAGAGCCAACAAAATAGAAAGAGCGAGTGAAAGTGAGAGAGACGCCACTGGAATAGAGGGTCTCCAGGCCTCCGTCCAGTGCCAGTGTTTTGCAGTCGTACACATTTATGGTCTGCAGCTTCAGCTCCATCCTCAGTACCCTTGGGCCACACTTCTGTGTCTTCCCAGCATGCTCTGCTGCCCCCAAAGGGAATATTTGAGGCTTTTATTTCTCTTCTCCAGCTCTGTTTACCCTCCTTGTTCACCATCAGCCTGTGACTTGGAATTTCTCCTCACAGAGGAAAGAGACTCTTGTGTTAAGTTGCTCAGCTCCTTCTCTTACCCTTAAACTTACCTCCTTTCATTGCCTGCACGCCTGCCTGCCTGCCGTCTTTCCATCGGCTTGAATCTCCCTCTCCCGTGATTCCTGTGATAGTGCGCTCCTGGTTTTTCCACTTCTCTGGCCACTCTTTTTCATTTTGTTTTTGCTTTTAGTCTCACCTAGTTCTGATCTTCTCCCATATTACTGGCTGCCAGGGGATCTTTTCAGTGCACGAAATTGATCATATCACCCCCTGCTTAAAACTTCTCCATGAAAAGAACAGTCAGAACTAACCGTAGTGATAGAAGTCAGAATAGCGGCTGCCTCTGGGTCGGGAGATCGAAGTTGATTGCAGAGGGGCACAGGGAGCTTTCCAGGGAGCTGCAAGGGGTCTGTGTCTCGTTTTGAGTAGTGGTTACATGGGTCTCTACATACATAAAAATCACTGGGCTGTACGTTAAGGCTAGTGCATTTAACTTTATGTATGTTATGCCTCAAGTTTAAAAAAAAAACCTTCAGTGGCTCTTCGTTATGACAACAGGTCAAAATCCTAACTTGTTAGACTAGCTTGCAGATTCCTGTTCATTCCTCCCTCAACTCTTGGCTCAAGCATCTTCCTGTGAAACATCCAGAGTTATGACACATGGCTCTTCCACTCACTTAAGGACCATATGCATAGGTCTATCCCGTTACCTAATAGACTGTGTTGTAACTGCCCAACTGCTTCACTCACTGGCCTGGGGCTCCCTAAGACTAGGGACCGCCTCTTCGGTTCTGTTGCTCCCCTAGTGCCTTGTGTAGCGACTGACACACAGGCCCCCACTACTTGCCTGTTGAATGAATGAATGCAAGTTCACTCTGTGTTTGCTTTGAGCTTGACCTTCCTTACTGAAAAGTTTCCTTCGTCCGGCCTGCAGGATGTTTCCTTGGTGAGAGGAAGGCTTTTGCACAATGGCAGTTTTTGACACTCCTGAAGAGGCCTTCGGCGCCTTGCGTCCCGTCTGCGTTCGGCTCACCAAGACGCAGACGGTGGAGAACGTGGAGGAGCTGCGGGCGCAGTTACGGACCGTGAGTGGCTCTGCCCTCCAGGAACTCCAGCAGTACGTGCTCTTCCCTTTGCGCTTTACCCTGAAGACGCCGGGTCCCAAACGGGAGCGCTTGATCCAGAGCGTGGTGGAGTGCCTCACCTTTGTCCTCGCCTCGACGCGTGTGCGGGAGCAGGAGCTCCTCCAGGAACTCTTCTCAGAGCTCTCCAGTTGTCTGTACTCCCCCAGCTCCCAGAAGCCCGCCGCTGTGTCCGAGGAGTTGAAACTGGCTGTGATCCAGGGCCTCAGCACATTAATGCACTCTGCTTACAGGGACGTCATTCTGACTTTCTACGAGCCCTCCATTCTGCCTCGTTTAGGGTTCGCAGTATCTTTATTGTTAGGCCTCGCAGAGCAGGAGAAATCAAAGCAAATTAAAATCGCTGCCTTAAAATGTTTACAGGTCCTCCTCCTTCAGTGCGACTGTGACGACCACCCGAGGTCCTTGGACGAGCTGGAGCAAGAGCAGCTGGGGGACTTGTTCGCTTCTTTTTTACCTGGAATCTCAACTGCACTGACCAGGATCATCACAGGAGACTTTAAACAAGGGCACAGCGTTATCGTATGTTCCCTGAAGACCTTTTACAAGACGGTGGGCTTTGTCATGGCTGATGAACAGCTCAGAAGAGTCTCGAAGGTCCAGGCAAAGCCTGCGGTGGAGCACAGGGTAGCAGAGCTGATGGTTCACAGGGAAGCCGATTGGGTGAAAAACACTGGTGACAAGTTGACTGTCCTTATTGAGAAGGTAACGGAGTGGGTTTCAGTTCACCCACACTGGAAGGTGAGGCTGGAGCTGATAGAACTGGTTGAGGCCCTTCTTTTGAAGTGCAGTCAGTCACTGGTCAAATCGGCCGGTTCCCTTCTGAAGGCTTTGGTGGGTCTGCTAAATGATGAGAGTCCAGAAGTCCAAGCCCAGTGCAACAAAGTGCTGAGACGTTTTGCAGACCAGAAGATAGTGGTGGGCAGCAGAGCCTTTGCTGACATCTTGTCAGAAAACCTGCATTCCCTGGCCACCTCTCTTCCCCGCCTGATGAACTCCCAAGACGATCAGGGCAAGTTCTCTACTCTTTCCTTGTTACTTGGTTATCTGAAACTCTTGGGCCCCAAAGTGAACTTCGTCTTCAACTCTGTGGCCCATCTCCAGCGCCTTTCCAAAGCCCTCATCCAAGTTCTAGAAATGGACGTGGCCGACGTCAAAATTGTCGAGGAGCGGCGTTGGAACTCTGATCACCTGAGTGCTTCTCCAACGAGCCCAGCCGCACGGGCATCGAATCACATCCAGAGGAGATATTTCCGCTTCTTCACCGATGACAGGGTTTTCCTGCTCTTGCGGCAGGTCTGTCAGCTTCTTGGTTTTTATGGGAACCTCTATTTGCTTGTCGATCACTTTATGGACCTGTACCACGAATCTGTGGTTTACCGAAAGCAGGCAGCCATGATCCTTAATGAACTGGTTGCAGGGGCTGCTGGGCTGGATGTGGAAAGTCTTCATGAAAATCATATTAAAACAAGCCCAGAGGAACTGAGAGAAATTGTGACATCACTACTTGAAGAATACACAAGCCAGGAAAACTGGTATTTGGTCACTTGTATCGAAGCTGAAGAAATGGAAGAGGAGCTAACAGGGAAGCAATCAGGCCTCCAGGCCATCGCATCTGGTGCACACACCTGCCGAGTTACGTCTTTTCCAGCCTTCTCGAAGCCAAGTCCCACGATTTGCTCCATGAACAGCAACATCTGGCAAATATGCATCCAGTTGGAAGGGATTGGCCACTTTGCATATGCACTAGGAACAGATTTCCGATTGCTCTTGATGTCGGCCCTCTATCCAGTTCTGGAGAAAGCCGGAGACCAAACTCTGCTCATTAGCCAGGCAGCTACCAGTGCCCTGATGGCCATTTGCCATGCTTGTGGCTACGACTCCCTGCAGCACCTGATCAATCAAAATTCAGACTATTTGGTAAATGGGATCTCTTTAAATCTACGTCATCTGTCTCTGCACCCGCACACCCCGAAGGTCTTAGAAGTCATGCTGCGGAACTCTGATGCTAGCCTGCTTCCTTTGGTGGCAGATGTGGTTCAGGATGTCTTGGCTGCCCTTGATCAGTTTTATGATAAGAGAGCTGCTTCCTTTGTCAGTGCTCTGCACGCCCTGCTGGCAGCATTAGGTACATCGAGAGCCCTTTTTAATGCTGTTTCGGGGAAGAACTAGTATCCGTATTTGCCTCACCTGATTTTTTTCTTTGTTTGTGGTTATGCTTTGGAGGACGTTATTTGAATATTGTTTGAATTTATCCAGTCCCACAGGTTTTGGTGGAGTCCCATTGCATTTACACACACACACACACACACACATACACACAGGGGTGGGCAAAGGGAGGCTTACAGTTCATGTTGAAAAAGACATGCAGGTTCTGATCATTGCAGTAGCTTTATTAACTCAAAAGAATGGCACGGTGCACTTAAGTACAGTCTCGAAGGTGCTCAAATTGCCCGCCATTATTTACAGTCTTGTAGTCTTCTGCCCGCTATATGCTCAAGCACACATCAGTTTCTTGACGTGCTTCCCTTATGCAGTGGATTGTATCATCCACAATACGTGGTTTTCATGAAAAGATTTTATCTTTGACAACACCCCAAAAGAAGGAGTCCGTTGGGGTGAGAGGTCCGGTGATTGCGGCGGCCGTGCCGCTGGCCCTCGTCGACCTGTCCCACGCTGGGGACTCACAACTGTGAGGTTCACAACTGTGAACCTACTTCCGGCCGCCCCGTGTGTATGTGCACTTTACTCATTTCCACCGTCTACTGAGCTCCTGCTCTGTGCCAAGGACGTAAAGCCTACAGACTCCATGTAAATACTGTTTCTGTTTTACAGACAAAAAGGGCTAAGGCTCAGTGGTATCCTGCTTAGCCAGGGTCACACAGTTAAATAAGGAGAAAAGAAGATTTATGATTTTTTTCTCTTTTTACTATACCAAGCTGCTCCTGATGACACTTAAGGATTAGCAGTTTCTGTGCTGATGGAGAGCAGAAATAATGTGAATTATTCAGTCTACAGATAGTCCAGTGCTGTCCAATAGGACCTTTTTGCAATGATGGAAATGTTCTGTATCTGTTCGATCCAATACAATAACCAGTAGCTGTGTGTGGCTAGTGCAACTGAGAAACTGAATTTTAATTTTAATTTAAATAGCCACATGTAATTAGTGCCACCGTATTGAACAGAGCAGTTCTAGATACTTTCTTTTAACCATTTAATTGTATGAGGTAGTTTGAGATTTTCTTCTTCCCTTCGAGCCCATTGGGTGTCTGTCAGAGGTGCTCGCTGCCATTAAAATGGCAGTTTGGGGACTGACTGTATGAAAAAAAAATCCCTCAAGTAGTTAGTCTTTGACAGAAGTAAGCTGTGTACCTGAGTCTCTTTTATCCAAAGGGCACAGCTCCAGTACTTATTTCTGTCCTGCGAGTAGCCTGCAGGGGAGGCGGAAAGGCCACTGACCTGCCTCGTCTTAACATCTGAGAAGGACAGGCCCAGGTAAGAAAGTCGCTCCCACGAGGTAGCTGGAACAGGGCTCGTCCTCTGGCCTGTAGCCAATGCCATTTCCTGTGTTCATTCATTCGTTCATCAATATTCACATGCAGTATAAATTGTTCTTTTACTCATTCATTCAATAAGGAGTGCCTGCCACATGTCAGGCACTGTGCTAAGTAATCAGGATACAGCAGTGAACAAGACGAATAAGCTCACAGAGCTTTCCTGCTGCTTCAGGAGAGATGATAAACAAATGAACAAATCACGAAGTTCATTTCAGAATCTTAAAAGCAGTGCAAAGAAAATAGCTTGATCCAAGAGAGTAACAGGGACTCTCTTTGGATAAAAGCGTGTGGTCAAGGAGGGCCTCCCTGAGGAGGTGACACTAGAACTGGCACCTGAAGGCTGTCAACATCCTTTGTACGGTTTTTAAGAACAGTCAGGCAAAGGGAACAGTCAGCAGGTGCGAAGGCCTGGAAGGAAGAAAGGGCTTGGGGTCTTTGGAGAATGGAAGGGAGGTCATTCTGGGGAGATAGATAGAAGCCGAGGTCAGAAAGGCAGGCAAGGACAAACCCTGCAGGGCCCGCAGACCAAGGGAAGCACTGTTCTGGTTTTTACTTTGCAACCACTTGGAAGCCTGTGTGCTGGACCAGTCCCCCCTGGGCTGTCAGCATCCTCCTGGGGACACTACTCTGACTGGCTAACTGCTTATACATTTGAGACTGTGGCTGACTTCCATGGTCCAAGTACATTCCAGATTTCTACATTCAGTACTTTGGGGAACTCTACCGCACGTTAATTTGAGATCTAAAAATACATATTAAGAAAAGGCCTGTTAAATATATCCTCTCTGGAGCGATCTCAATTTGGGCCTTGAAAATTGAATTGCCTTGGATTGCTGATGGCTTTGGTCATCTCTCAGGGAGAAATCCTGTTTAGCACTTTTTAAATTGAAACAGAGGAGGAGGGAGTCTCCACCGCAGAGAGGAAAGTTGGGGTAGGGAAGGTTAACTTGAGGGCGCCCTCAGAAAGGAAGCACTACTGGGGACTGTTCCTGAAAGTTCTGAGGTTGCCCAGAACACACGTGTGTTCTGATGGCCAGTGGCGCTGAGGTGGAGCTGGTCAGTCACGCTGGGGCCAAAGTGGCGCCGGTGCTGGCACTTCTGTTTTATTACCCCCGGTTGTCTGACTGATGGGGACTCCTTTAAAGTGGGAGTGGAAGTGCAGTCTCAGGGAACTTCCAGAAGGTCTTAAAGGAATCCAGGACATGTTTGAGGAAGTTGAGTTACCACAAACACGGTGTTTTCATAAGCATTGACTAAAAAACTCTAGGTACCACGGTGAGGGCAAAAGCTGTCATCAGTTGGATCACTCCTGAGCACCAGCTGCTGGCTGGCTGATTACTCCTGACAACCAAACAGTGAGGGAGCTGTGAAAGGAAGCATCCATTTCACACACCGCAGGCATCTAGACATGTGGGGCCGCCACATTGTTTTGATGGTTGCATAATCTGTTGTGTGGCTGCACCGTAATTTATCGAAGCAGCCCTTGGTGTACATTTTGGTGGTTTCCAGTCTTTTGCCACCACACACACAAAAAAATGTTGCAGTGAATGTCTTTGCAGGCCATTATGAACATGGCTAAGTGTATCAGTAGGCGAATGCTGGCTTGGAGAGTGTTACGTTTAAATTTTGGATGGACTGTCAAATTGCTCTCTCCGGAGAGTTCATGCCAATTTAAAGTCTCATCAGCTATGTAAGAGTGTCAATTTTGCCCCGTCCTCACCCACACTGTTTATTACCCTGCTTTTTGATCTTTGCTAATCTAATAGGAGAAAAATAGCACCTTATTAGAGTTTAATTTGCACTAAGAGTCAGATGGAGCTTCATCTCATAACGTTCAAAAAAGCCGTTTGTGAGCAAAGACTTTTTAATGTCTGGCATTAGCCTTAAATCTAGAAAATAATCTTTGTAGCCCGTCTCCTTTCAGCAGAGTGAATAGTGAGTCCTAACTTTGACTCGTCGGGAATGCAGTGTTTTAGAGTACATTAGAGGCCTCATGTACACGTGGGGACGAGGCACCGGAGAAGTGACCCCTACGTATAGGATCCTCCAGACACTGCAGCGAAGGCCCTCGTCTCCGGCCTCCGCTCCCTGCCCCTCCCGCTTACCTGACCGGGCGTCCCCACCTGCTGTTGCTCTGGCTCAGTGCAGATGTTCCTTGGATGGAGAGGAGATGAGCAGGTGCTAAAGGTTAGGGGGGCTTGCTCCCGGCTGTCTGCAAGAGGAGAGTGAAAATTCAGGCTGGGGGTTTTCTTGTTCTTTCATGTCTAAGAACCTTTTAGAAATGAAGCCCTAGGGGAGCCCAGTGCACAACAATTGTTGAAATTAGAGCTGCCCCAGTTAAAGAAGGGCTGGACACCCCAGACCCACCCTCTTCGGCCTGCTATCTTTTGGCCTGCCCGTTGCGACCCTACGATTATGCAGAACCCTGGGGCTTCTCAAGGCACAGTCTGAGAACCTCTGGTTCAGTGATGTTTAGGGCTTATTCCGTGGTGACTCGTCAGAGGTAATGAAGCGTCCCTGCAGAAGGAAGAGCTTTGGAGAGAAAATGGCAGCCTTCTGAAGCATTTTATACCAGAAATACAGATGGAAGGCTGTGCTCATTCCCAGGGCTCCTAGAGCCTGTCTTCTGCATGAGCAGCGTACCCTCTACTCAGAATTTTGTCATTTGTGCGTGTCCTCCAATCCAGTGTATTTATCTATTCGGCATGTGCTTTCGAGTGCCCATTCTGTGCTGGGCATGTTGGATTTCCCGTGGTGATCAGCGGGGCATAGGGTCTAAACCGCACACACACACACACACACACACACACATCACGAGGAGCTGGTGTGAGAGCAGAGAGTGTGGTGTTCTCACCTGAGAGCAGAAGCCAGCATGATAGAGGCCTGAGTTAGGTTGGGAAGAGTCAAGAGGTGGCTTTAGGGGGCAAGTGATGATGGTGGTGGGACATGGAAAGTGAGTTGGAATTAGCCAGATGTGACATGGAGGGGGAAGTATTCCAGACACTGGGAATAGCATATTCCAAAGTTCTGAGGCAGGAAAACATCTGGCACTTGGGAGGAACTGGAGGACAGTATGACAACTGGCAGTGGTTAGGAGGTGGGGTTAGAGAGACAGGTAGGGCCTGGGTTGTGCAGGGGCCATGCAGGCCACGGCAGAAAGCGTACTCTACTTACAAAGTACGGATGCCTGTTGTCGATGACCAAGATGATCGTTGTGACACTTTGTTCACAGTCCAGTGGTTCCCAGACCCAAGTGATCTTGGGCAACCCCAAGAACAAAGGATAGGGGAGGAGGCAGAACACTTGAGCAAAAGACCAGCAGCCCTTCAAAAAGGCCCTGAGAACCCCACCACAGCTGAAGATGTCGAAAAGTTTCTGCTCAACTACCTCAAGGAAAAGGACGTGGCCGATGGAAATGTCTCAGATTTCGATGAGGAAGGTAACGAGAATTTATTTTGGGTTAGCCATTTTTTTCTTGTTGAGGCAGATTATTGTAAAAACAACAAAACACCCTTAGAGAGGCTTGGAAACAAGAAAAGAAGAAAAGTCCATCCTACACCCCCCCCCCCCCCGTGCTAACACAGCATTCCTTTTTGTGTAATCTTCCATTCTCCCCCCACCCCCTTTTTTGGTGGTGGTGTTTTGTTTCTTGTTTTTTTCCCTTCTGTTTCCAATTCTTTTTTGTTGCAAGCCTATTTTTGTATGGCTGCAGCTTCAGTTTAAATGCATTATGCCCTTTTTTGCATGCAGTTATAGAATAAGGCACTCTCCTTGTTGCTATAGTTTTCATAATTAATGTTTTAATAGCTGCTGCCAAATGTCCGTCCCCCCGTGGGAAGGTTCGGTTGCTTCCAGCTTCTCACTCTGATAAACAGCTGCAGGGCATGATTCTGTGCACGTGACCTTTTCCTTCTTTTTGCATATTTCTTTATAAACCCCAGAAGTGGGATTTTTGGGGCAAGGATGTGAACATTACTTTATGCTTGTCAAGTGGCCTTCCAGAAAGGTTTTGCACCTTTCCTTCAGCAGTGCAGAATTAATACTGGTTTTGCCACACACAACCTTACCAATTTTGGCTATCACCAATTTTACTTCTTGCTAAATCAAAAGGGGTCTTGTTATTTTACTTCTCATCTCTCTGACAAGAGATTAGTGGGAACATGGAACATCTTTCTCGGTACTTCTTTCCTGACAATTTTTTTAAAACTTATACTCATTGCTTATTCATATGCTTTGTTCATTTATTTATTGGTGGGAGGAGGGTTCAGCATTTTTCTTACCAGTTTATATGATAAAGGAAAAGGGAGTTTAGGCTAGCTGAAGCTCTGGCCTGTTGTTTTATTCACAAGCTCAATCTGGAGCTGCAGGTCACAAAAGGATTAATAAATTATTAGAATCTCCTCTGCAAATATAAAATGCCAAGTTATAATGAGCTTGGTGGTCTCAGAACTATCCTAAATCGGACTGAGTCCCAAATTACTTTGTTAGATTGGAATCAAGCAGATTTCTTTCTTTTTCTTTTTTTTTTTTCTGGCAATTTCTACTCTGAGACTCTCCTGAACTGAAGCCAATGCTTCCAGGATAGCAGGAAATAGTAGCTCAATGCAACTAATTACAACAAATTCCTTCTAAGTAGCAGGGAGGCATCACAGGGCCCAAGTAATGATTTGTGCACAGTCGACTCATTGGCTTCCCCAAGGACAGAGTTTTCTGATCAGAAATCTATCAGGCTTTTTCTTTTCAGTTTTGTTCCAACCTAGTCCTTCTTTTCGTGAAGTGCACCCCTCGCTCAAAACTGAAGAAGGGGAGGCAGCTCCATTCCTCATAATCTGGATTTGCCATTCTTGTTCAAAATTCTAGCTTTGTCGGTGAATCCATTCTTCCACGATTAGGATCTGCTGGTCCTCGCTGATGTTCTCAAGGAGCAGACAGAATGAATCAAACCTTTCCGCCAGTAACAGAAAAATCCACGTCCCTCAAATAACATTTGGCAGTAGGTGAATTTCAAACAACAAATCCTCCTCCGGGAAGAAAGGCACAGCCTTATCAGTCTTACAATTATCATCCATCAAGCGCACACCGCACACGTGGCGTTATAAAGGATGTTTGCCTCGATGCTGGTTTGACATGCATTTTTTGTTTTAGCCACGAGAAAAGCACCTTGTGTATCTGAGATCCCTTTCTCCAAGAAAACCAAGCACTGTGCAGGTGCATGTTCATTTATCTCCTCGGCATCTGTTAGAGACAGGTGTGGCCTCTACTGTCCGGTTCTGTTTTTCCAGCAGAGGAAACTGAAATGGGAAAAAGTTGAGGGAGCGGTGCTCAGCTTAATGGAAATAAGCACAGCTGGCAATGGGGGTGGGGGGAGGCCAGAGGCTGTAAGTAAACAGAGGAAAGTTTTTCAGGGCAGGGATTTGGGCCTGGGTTTCATGAAACTCTCAAGGCTTTTTGTTGTTTTAATTTACAGACATGTATCTCTCTCATTCAACAAAGCACTCTAGGCAGTGAAAGAATAATAGCTGGCAACATTCATTTCATTGAACTCTATCAACAAGTGAATGAGGTGTACACGCTTTATCCGTGTTACCATGTGAGGTGATGTTGGGTGAGAGGACTGATAATGGGTTGTTCAGTCAAGACTTGAACCGACCACCTCTCACCAAACCCTGCGTGTGGCACCATGCTGCCCTGGCATCTCGTTCAAAGATGAGTAAGGCTTGATCTTGGCCATCAGAAGAACCTAAAGGCTGGTGGTGAAGACAGAGACGAACCCCCTTTAGTCAATGGATGAGCCAGGAGAAAAGAGTGGAGGGCCAGATGCCGCCCAGGGGACTAGCTGTGCGGCCTCAGGGCTCCATGTTAGAACCTTGCTCCCTTATGTCTTTAGTTTAAATATTTGTTAATGGAAATTTAGAAAAGACCAAAGGTCTAGGAAAAATAGAAGTCACCTATTATCTATCTCATGACCCCTCTCTGTTAATACTTTGCTACACTTCCTCCCATCTTTATGTAAAAATTTCTGTAACAGTGCTCACACTATGTACAATACTATATTCTGCTTTCCTCTTTTTATGATGAATGTTTCTTTTGTATTTTATTTATATTTTTATAAAGGGGGGAAAGGAGGGAGAAAGAAAGGGAGAGAAACTTCGATTGATTGCCTCTTGCACGCCCCCAACCAGGGAGCTGGCCAGCAACCCAGGCATGTGCCCTGACCGGAAACCATACTGGTAACCTTTCTGTTTGCAGGACAATGACCAGCCCACTGAGCCACACCAGTCAGGGCGCTTTCCTCTTTTTACCACTATTATTTCATAAGCATGTTCCCTTGTCATTAAAGCCCTTGGTAAACACAAATTTTAGGGTTGTACCAAAATTTATAAAACCATTCCCTCTTGAGTGGACTTGGAGGGTTTTCCCCAGTTTTGAGCTGTTACAGTGAATGCTTTGATGAATATTGTGACTCATACCTTGACCCAAATGTAACATGGGCTCCTAAGGATCGGTCTCTAGACATAAGTCCCGCTCCTGATCTGAGGTTGGGAGATCAAGTTGAAGTCCGGCATCTCTCATACAACACTGTCCCCGGTTATGCTCTTTTTCCAGAGGAGCAGTCAGGCCCTCCCAAAGTGGACGAGAATGACATTGGTCCCCATGTGAAGCCACCACTGCCACTGCAGATCCAAATAGCCACAGACGTGACGGAGCGCTGCATCCACTTGTTGTCAGATAAAAATCTGAAAATCCGCCTGAAGGTCAGTGCGCGCCGGCCCTTCCTTGCATTCATGGAGCAGCAGGACTGACCTTGGTTTGGCTGGCAGCGACTTCACAGAAGAGCAAGTAGCTGCCCTTATCTCCTAGTCTGTGTGTGGTGGCCAAGGGAAGCTATCAAAAGGAATTTATCTGTGGGATGTCATTCTTAGGTCTTTGTGTATTAGCTCAGATGCCTAGAGGAGCTGAGTCTCCTTTGTGGAATTAAAAAACCACAAAGTTTTGGAGAGTCATTGAATCTCCAAGGGAGAGAGAAGTAGATGCTTTGGAAAGAATGTCACTTTCTGAGCTGACTTAATGCAAGATGTGGTTAGTACTTTAAAATGGTCATTCTTCCAAGCCCGAGGCTAGCCCTTATCTCCGTTTCTGTTTTCCTCCCAGGAAAAACACCAACACTGTTCTTAATCTTACATCTTTGCTGGCAGTTTCCCAAGCAGCATCGCCAACAACAAGGACTTGAACTACACAGTTGTGACTCCAGGAGCAGGCAGTGGAGTGCGGTGGGGTGGGCGTGCAGGACAGGGCTTTCAGAGTCATCTGGGGGAAGTCTTAATACCCAGAGAGAAAAAACACAGCCTGGCCCACTCATCCCCACCGGCAGCATCACTGAGAAACACAGCTGCCTCCGTGAGTTACTGGTACTAGTGAGAGCATGTTGTCCTCCTCAGGGTGGTGGGCTGAGAGACCCCGCTGCACAGATTATCTCGGACCTCAGCCTCTGTGTTTTGAGAGATTTGTTTAGTCTTCCCAGAGGCACTTCTTAGCGTGCATCTGTTGTTCCCGTTCAGGAGGCGCTTTTCCAATGACTGCTCCATGCAAGGCCGGGTCTGGTTGGTATTAATACATTTGCCAAGCGCCTTCCCTTTTGTGGAGACTTTCTAGCAGTTACAGTGACCAGCATAGTTATTGAGAGCATCAATATTGGAGGCATTCCTACAGACCTGGGTTCAAATGCTGGCTCTGCCTCTTACTAGCCCTGTGACCTTGAGTCATTCATTCACCTTTCTGAGCCTCAGCTGCTTCTTCTGTAAAGTAGAGATGATGGTACCTACCTCACTGGGGTGTTGATCATCAATGCAGAACGATGTCCAGTGGGACATACTCTCATTCTTCTCTTCACCCTGTCACTCACTGTTTACTGAGGACTGCGGCAGGCCAGGCGGGGGGCACGTCGGAGGGGAGGGGTCAGGTGTGATCCCTGTCTTCATGGAGCGTCCCATCTTGTGGGGAAAGAGGCGATGCCCAAACACAGTCCGACAGGTCGAGGAAATGCTGTGGAGGTAAGAAGCAGGTTCTAGGATGGAAAATGACAATCCACCCACCCAGCGAACACGGGGACCTACTCCGCCAAACCCTGTTGAATGAGACGGGCCTTGCATTTGGGTTTAGGTCGTCAGGGAGGCTTCTCTGCTGGTAACATTTAAACCGAGACTTAGAAGTTTGAGAAGGAGCCAGCCATGCCAAGGGGCAAAGGCAGAGAGAAAAATGTGTGTCTTTGAATCAGTGAAGTATGGCATGACTTTCCCAGTTATAATGCAACTCAAATTCAAAGCCAGTCGGTGATACCCGAGCCATTTCCACTGCTCTGCTCTGCTCTCAGTTGTGTGCTGAGGCTGCTCTTACTCCCCTGCCTAACTGCTTACCCCTCGAGGGCAGGAGCTCCTTTGTTCTTTGTTTCTGCTCCAGTCTCAGTGTGACCAGCACGTAGTAGGCACTTAGTCAAGGCCTCCTCTGTATTTCCATCTCAGACAGCCCGCCCCTGTTCTGCGAGGGCCGCGTGGCAGGGAGCCTGCACCAGCGGCCGCTGCCCGAGCCGACGGAAGCCGACCATCTGTTCTGAGGGAGCTTTGAGAGATAAGAGATCAGGAAACATATTCCGATGGAAAGTGAAAAATGCAGTTTACATCTGGGCTACCCCAAACCTTTCTTCTGAGACGGACCTGTGTCCCAGCTGCCCACTTGACCTCTTCTTAGAAGCAGCAGAACTTGATCCCTCCCCGCCTCCGTTTTCCTCCTCCGTCGTTCCCATCTCATCAGGCAGCACCTGCATCTACTCCGCTGCTAAGCCCAAACCCGAGCAGCTCTCCATCTGCCCAGTTCGCCTCTTCTCGGCCATTCAAACCATTTCCTCTTCTCTGCCACCGTCACGTGGCCACCTCAGTTTCCTCCTCCTGTGGACGTGTGCCATGGCTTCCTAAAGGGCCTCCTCAGTTCCGTCTCACGCTTCAAATCCCTTCTCCACGCAGCCGCCAGAGCGACCTTTATAAAACATGAATTGTATCATGCCACTTTCCTGCTTAAAACATTTTGATGGCTCCCCACTGCCCTTAGTACAAAATGAAAAATTCTTGACGTGACACCTGTGTGGTCCCGCCCCACCGCACCCCTGCTCTGCCGGGCTCTCACGGCCCTGCTTCAGGTCCCTGAGCACTACAGGCTCCCCCGGCTCTGGGTCATCCTCGTCCCTGCAGTGCTAGGGACACTCTCGCACTCTGCGTGCACGACTAACTCCTGCTCACCCTTGTGTCTCCTTTTAGCGGTTTCCTTCCCAGCACTTGTTGCAGTTGGTAGTCATCCCTTTATTTGGCTGTTAGCTCATTCAGGTCTTCCCGCAGTTGACCGGAAGCCCTGTGAAGGCAAGGAAACATGTTTTTTGTCCTTGTGTGTCCCCCACCCAGTACCCAGCCAGTGCTTGGCATGTTGTTAGGACTCAGTAAATACTTATCTGGTTAACGAGTTTCTGAAATTTTATTCTTCTAAAATGCTGACCTGATCGCCAAGTACCTAGGTGCAAGCCTTTCCTATCTCCTGAAGCCGTGCCCTCTTTCCTTCAGGTCTTGGATGTGCTGGGTCTGTGTGTGGAAGTCCTGCAGTCCCACAAGGACCAGCTCCTTCCCATGGCTCACCGGGCCTGGCCTGCGCTCGTGCACCGACTCACAAACGATGATCCCCGGGCAGTGCTCAGAGCCTTCGAGGTACCATCCTGGGGGCCCGCTGCCATCGTGGGGGTGCAGGAGAGGAAGCTCAGGGCTCACCAGTGTCCTTTGCCACTGGCTGTCTTTTTATCTGATTGCAGTCTAATGTACCTTGAGGAAAGTATAGAAAAATAAGAAAGGCACAAAGAAGAAAATAAAAGTCAGTTTCCTTCTGAATTTGAAGCAGGGTGAACTGATAGACCAACATTTATTAAGCACCTACTGTGTGCCAGGGGGTGTGCTTGGCATTTCCCCATACATGAGCTCATCTCCTGATGACAGCCTTGCAAGATGGAGATCATTATCTCCATTTTTGACAAAGAAGGAAACAAACTCAGAGAAGCTAAGGAATTTTCTCAAGATCACACAGCTAGTAAGTGATAGAACCCAAATCTGTGAGTTCACACCCACGATCTTTGGAAGGGACCTAGGTCCTAGTGATGGGCATCCTTTGCCCAGCTGAGCAACTTCAGACAAACCTGTGACCACCCATTTCCAGGTTGGGCTTAGGAATAGCTGCCGACCTTTCTCACAGAGTTGTTAAGGATAAAATGGAACCGTTTGGTGAGGTGCTTTGGAACATTAAAAGCCCTACGTATGTGTAAGGTATTATTCTCTGTGACTTATTTTGGCTTGTATTAACACACATATTTTAGCTTATTTATTTATATTGTTCCTTGTTCTAAAAAGCACTTAAGGCAGCCTACAGAGCTACATTTACCATGGCAAGCTAATGTAAATTAGAAGTATATGAGCAAGATGAGGCAGGAAAAAAGATGTGTGAGGATATAAAAATGAAGCCCGGACTGCAGCTAAGATACTTGGCCAAGGTAATCGGGTTTCCTGTAAGGTTCTTCAGCATACACCAGATCAAACACACACTTGCACTGAAAACATGAAATTGTTCATTTTTTTCCCAAAGACAGAACACGAAATGACACATGCATGTGTGTCTAGAGAGAGAGCACACGAAAGAGAGGAAGGGGTGGGGGAGGGACGTGGGCTACTTTCCTTTGTGAAAATTAGTAGGTTGTCTGACATGCCAGCGAGCACAGAAAAGTGAAAGGACGTAAAGATGTGCGCGCTGGATCAGAGGCTGCACGTCCAGTCCTGGACGCGTTAGGACTCCCGAGGCCTGCGAGGCCTGGTGCGGCCCAGCTGGGGCACCTGAAGTAAGCGCCGTGCTCTCTGCAACGCTGGCAAACGCTCTCTGTGCTGGTTCTGCCTTGCTTACCAATTTTTAAAGAAATGCCTGTTATCCCGTATTCTTAGTCTTGTGCAGCAGGGCAAAGCATTTCAATATGTTCCGCTAGAGAACATTTAAAATGAGACATGCAGAGAAACTGCCCGTCGTGAGAGAGGGAGTGCGGGTGACGGGTCCTCGAGACCGTGCGGTGGCACAGGAGGAGGCCGACGCGGCGCCTGCCCGCAGCAGCCACCCAGCGGCCTCAGGCGTCTGTGTTTGTTTAGCTAGTGAGAGTTAAAAACACAAGTCTTTCCTCAAGGGATGTTAGGAAGACTCAAGAGATGATCTATGCGGACTGCTTTAAGGTCTTTTTTTAACAACAAAGGGAGGAAAATCAAGGGATTAATCATATTCATCCAACCCAAGATTCCTTTGCATTAGTCTCCGTGTAATCTGTATTTATGGGTAGAAGCAGCCGTACTTTGGGAGCAGGGACCTCCAAATTCATAACTGTCAGAATCACAAACTATGGGCAAGGAATTAACAGCAGTAGTTTTATTTTTTTCCAAATTGAGGCCTAGATGAAATTGAATTACCAAGCATTCTTGAGCTTTCTTGCCGCCTTGGTGACAGTCACTGGCTCGGGGTCTGTTTCTGCAGGTGCTGCGGACCCTCGGGGGCAAGTGTGGCGATTTTCTCCGCAGCCGGTTTTGCAAAGATGTCCTGCCAAAGCTGGCCGGCTCCTTAGTCACCCAGGCTCCCATCAGTGCCCGCGCTGGACCAGTTTACTCCCACACGCTGGCCTTCAAGTTGCAGCTGGCCGTCTTGCAGGGCCTGGGCCCCCTCTGCGAGAGACTGGACCTAGGTGGGTACCAGGCAGTGTCACCTAGACACACATTCATCATTGTCTCATGCCCACCATTGCCCTGTCCGATTAACCACGCTCCCCTTTTTTCCTTTCCTGTGCACGTCCTTTAGTCTGACCTTGGCCTCATTTATCCACTTACCCTGATGTGTTTTTTGCCTTGTGGGGTGGAGTAAAGGGCCCACGGCATCTTGCCGGGCTCTTCCAGTTTGACCACACAGTAGTTGGTTACCACTTGTCCCAAATGAAGTCTGAGGGCCAGCCCTTGTTTGGTTTCTCCTCTCTGCAGGTGAGGGCGACCTGAATAAAGTGGCTGATGCCTGCTTGATGTACCTCAGCACCAAACAGCCTGTGAAATTACAAGAGGCTGCCAGGAGGTACGTCTGCTTGATCATCCGCATCCCCTTACGTTTGTCCTAAATTATGGATGATTTGCTAATGGCAAGCGGAGTTGAGGCATCTCTCTGCTTTCCTCCTCTCTGTCTTCTTGCTAGGTTAAGGTAATTTCTTTAACTGTGCCACCTCTTGAGATGGTATTTTCAGTAGACGCATTTCTCTTTGCAAGTAACCTTTACCTCTGCTGCAACGTCAGCAACAATGCCAAAGGGGCTAGGGACAGAAAGGTGTGCTGGAGGGGACAGAGCACTCTCCTGGTCGGAGGGCGATCTGCTTCCAGACCCTGCTTGTCTGGTGACCCCGGCACCTCTCGGGGCCTCAGCTCCCTCATCTACAAAGTGAAAGTATTGGGTTACTGATCTTGCATATCTTGACTCCAGGGAGCATCTTAATGGGCGTCAGGTGCCATGAACCCTCACAAATTATATGCAGAAGCGGGTGTGTGCAAGCAGACACATACGTGCCTTTCTCCAGACAGAATTCTTACTGCTCGTCCAATTATAATGGGAGCCTGTGAACCAAGACATGTTAAGAACCACTGGGTTAATGGCTTAAAGGGCCTTTTTTGACTCTGAAATTATGTGATTCTCATTTCCAAGAGTCTTGCTTATTTGAGAATAGCTGTGCCACCTCTGATGGAAGAAGCTATGTCTGGTTCCTCGAGTCCTAAAGGTTTTTTCTCAAAAGCTAAAACCCTGAGCACAGAAGCATCCCCCAGACTTGAGATCCAAAATGCACCTTGGCCCTCCTTTCTCCAGCTTTCCTCTCAGCTGGGAGCAGCCAGCACCCTGGAACTGCCACTGCCGGAGCAAAAGCTGGCCCGTGTGACCTGGCACCGTGTCCCTGCAGCTCTGTGTCCCAAGCAGAGAAACAGTCCCTCCCCTTCTGAGGCTTTCCAGAAACATCCCAGGTCCTCCTTGGTGGGGCGGGAGTAATCTCGTTCCCTGAGGGCTGAGAGACCACTCTGACTGGGGAATGAGGGAAGCCGACTTGCTCCCTTAGAATCCTGCTCTCTGGGACTGATGGAAATCTTTTTGAATTGATTTATTGTCCTTTGCAATTTTTTACTCTTGATGTCCCCGGCTTCCTTTTTTTGTTGTCTCTTTGCCATCACGTCCCCTGGGCACAGCACCAGTCGAGGTTTCCCCAGCACACAGGTGCATCCTAACCCAGTTCTCACCCCCAGGCATTCTTATTCCTCAAACAAGTGATTTGGCGAAGAGTGGTCCTCCCCTGGGCAGTGTCCTGGAGGCTAATTGTGCATGATTTAAAGTACAAGTCAAGCCCATAATGAGTTCATCTTGAAGCAAGTGCTTTTGTGTGCCTCTTACAACCACGAGTTACAAAGATCTGATTTTCACCATCCCTGCCCCATCCTCCTCCTCCCCCACCCACCCTTTCTTGTCCTTTGAGTTTAGACCCAACAGACAAGTTAATATTTGCAATTTGTTATCTTTCTGTTTTCTTTTCTCTCTCTCTCTCTTTTTTCCACGAAAACCAATTAAACCCAGAACTGGTCCTTGCGCAATGTTGAGTTGGCGTTTAGGGGGTGGGAGGAGTGGAGCCAGGCCCCTTGACTGCTGCGGCGCCTTTGTTTGCCGCGTGGCATTCCGTGCAGGGTTGAGTCAGATGACCTTCCTTCTGCTGGGCTGGGAGGGGAGGAAGTGCAAGGTTGATTGCTTCACAGATACATCATCTGCACACTTATTTTGAAGTCAGGGGAGAAAACATCAGTGTTGTCCTTGATCCGGAGCTGATTTGGCATCCTGATTCAAAAATTAATAAGCTCTCTAAATGGGAGAGGAAGCCTGAGTCAATGGAAAGCCTGGTCTCATTACCAAGTGGAGAGAGGGAGATGGGTGGGCCGATTGTCACCGACCGAGACAGTCCTACCTGCAGGGACTGAGGAACCAGGGCAGCAGATGGCCACACCATCCATTCAGCTGTTTGTCTTTAATTCTTTTCTCTCCTTCACGCCCGCACCCATTCCAGAAGTGAGGCCTGTCTGCCTAACTTACAAAATCTGTCTCAAACGGTCTGCTTCTCGTCACCTCCCAACCTCCAGGCCAGGCCAGGCCAGCCCACCCTCATCTCCTACCTGAATGACTGCACAGGCCTCCTTGCCGGCCCCCTGCTTCCACGCCTGCCCCTCAGTACTCCCCACGCAGCAGTCAGTGAAGCCCCCCACCACTCACTCATGGGAGAAGACAAGGCTGTTGTGCTTGTTGCCAGAGCCCCAGGGGGAGCCCTCTGGCTAAAGAATTAACAAAAACTCCAGCCTCAGCTCAGCACTCAGAAGAACGGGTAAAGCCAGAGCTGTCCCTCCAAGGTAGTGAGTTCCACACTGGGCAGATGACCAGCTTGCTCTGTGAGGGGCTCCCCCCATCTGACAGGGCTGGTGGGGACACCTGTAAGAGGCAGCGACTGCACTGAGAGGAGGTGGGCGAGCCCCAGCGCCTGTAGGTCAGCAGGTGGGTTGATGGGACCTCAGCTGGGCAGCCGCCCTGGAGCTGGAATGGAGGCAAACCTGGCAGCTCTGTAAAGATTCCTCTTTGTGTGCATTATACTTTGGTGCTTCCTTCCTTCTGTTTGCTTTTCCCAGCTCCAAAGAATGACCAAGCCTGTGTTTGCTTTTTTAATTTGTCACATTAAATATAGCCTTGGTGGCAGGCTTTTACATCCAGGCTGTAAACTCTAGAAATGGAAATTGATCAGGGGGTGGTTGATATAACCGAGGCTGTAAATGCTGAGAACGGAGATGCCATTCCAGTTTAATGCTTTTATCTAGCGACTGTGCCTCGTAAGGAGGGGCATAAATCTTGCAACTTGGGGGCGGGGTGGGGTGGGGGTAGGGTATAACCTTGCTGTATGTTACCACCAGGTGTCACTGTTAACTGGCTATGCAAGAAAAATGCCAGCTCCCCCAAAGTGCATCTAGTTAAATAGCTTCAATGGGTAACAAATGAGAAGATAATACTTGGGGTCAGGAGGAGGGGTGAGCATAGCACGAGCTGTAAATAAGGTAGTGCTCCTGAGGGTGAGCGTTGGATTCCGGAATGACGGGTCATATCAGCTACGCCCCAGTCTCATCCTTGGCAGAGGCAAACTTAACTGATTTCAATTCCCAGGTGGCCTCAGAAGCCTCTGAGATATCTCCCAGCATGCAGTGGGCCTCCACAGCTCTGTGCCTTTCTGGCCATGGAGCTTTGCCTTCCCAAACATGAAAGGAATTTGAGATGCAAGCACACCCCCCAAATTTCTGTGTTTTTCCTTCAAGCCAGTACATACTCAGCCTCGTTCAACTTAATTCCATTAAAACCATACTCCTGGGCCTCCGAGGCTCCCTGTCCTATGCAGGGAGGTCTTCAATCATCCAGTGAGTCTTCCACCCCAGGGCTATAAAGAACAAACAGAACAATACCTATTTTTAAAAGATGGAGTCTGTGCCAGCAAGACTTACGCTGAGGAACAATGTTTTTAGGCCACTTGGTCTTCACCCCTGGTCCTACCTCCACCCGCCAACCCTAGAGTCCAGGTGCTAACAGGTAGTGACCAGGTGGTCACCTTTGTGATTGCGCCGGTGCTGGACGCTGCAGCCCTCGGGGTGGGGGGAAGGGTGTGTGTGTGTGTGTGTTTGAGGTGGGGGGTACCCTCCCAGCATCCTCTGCCTAGCCATTGTATGTGAGGGCAAAGTGTACCAGGCTTGGAAGTAGACACATCTAGGTGCAAATCTTGCTCTGTGACCTTGAGCAAATGATGTAGTTGCCTCATTTCCTTCCTCTGTAAACATGGGGTGGTGGTAACACCTCCCCCCAGAGTCACTGTGCAGATGAATCGCATTAATATGTGAGGGCGTCTACTCCTCGTTCACCGATGAGCCAAGGAGCTGCTGTGTGTCGGGCACCAACTGGTCCAGGCACTGAAAACTGCGGGGAGCCAGGCAGGAGGCCTCTGCCCCCACGGCACTCATGTTTCAGATGTGTATTTATGTGTGCTTGCTCACCCGTGTGGGATATAGAAACTTACCAAGTGTACGATATGTTATGTACGTGTTGTGCCTACACACGTACACTGGGGCATTTGTTGTTGCTTCATCCTTACTCAGACTGGAACAGTTTTTCGCCTCAGAGTGATCTTGTCATGTTAATTATGCCACCTGCCTCCACTGCCCATGCCTTTGAGAAGTCACTGCCAGGCCCGAAGGCTCATTTACTGACGGACTTCCCCACTTGCTTTCTAGCAGTTGGATCCCATCCCATCAAAGAACCAGCCAGTGCCTTCAAACCCTGCACAAATGCAGCCTGGCACAGGCGCGTTCGTTTCATCCCTGTCAGAGTCCCTGCGCCTCTCTCTGCCCACACCTGAGCCTATTCTATTCCAACGGATCAGGAGTCACAGAGGTGATCCGTCAGTTCAGCTGAGCTTGAAATTAGTAGCTCATCTCCTTAAATGGTGTGGGCAGTTGGTATGAGGCTGGGCTGCAGCAAAGCTGCTTCCCCCTTGAATTGCACCCAACGTGGAAATGAAGGCACTGCTAATATTTTTCCTTTTGACGTTTGATTAATAGTTGACAAATCCAGACCCAAGTAGTTAGCTTTCCCATTATCCATCTTTTGACAGGCATTGCTGCTTTTCTTTTCCAGCCTCATTGTTCTAAAAATACACTCAGATCTGAGGCCATTCGCTGTGCATATATAGGCATGATTTCCTGGTGTCAAAGATAAGAGACATCTGCCGTGCAGATTACAAACAAAGTGGGTTGCCAGGTTTCAGATCTGAAGACAGGGACCTCTGTGCTGCTTTAAAGCTAATGCTGCCCGCCCTTCCCCCGCTTCCTCGGTGTTGTCATGTGACTGATAGCCTGCCAGGGTGGACCATTTTACCACCCAGTGGGAAAGGCAAGTCTGGGATGTGGGTGTACATACTGTGCTGCTTCAGGAACCGGATGTTCTCATTGCTCCTGGTAGCTGGACCCTCGGCA